TTAAAATAAGTAGTATCTTGCGTAGTTTTAATTTATTTACTTAAGTACCTATTTTGTTATATATATATATATATATATATATATATATAACAAAATTTTCATACTTTTAATTACACGAAAAATATACGAAAGAATATTTGAAAAGAGCGATAAACAAATTTTTTATAATATTCTTATGCGACAGATGTCTAAATTTTATCCTCCCTTTTTTTCTCAAAAATAGCATTTTTAAATTCTTTACTAATTATTATTAAAATATTACCGTGTAATTACTGTTTCTGTGTATCAATAACTGTACCTAAAAATTATCAGGCTTGAAATCATACTTGGAAAAAAAATTTAATCCGTTAGTTTTGGAGTTGAATGAACGATGTTCTTCACTTCCTTTAGTTTCTTGACCGAGTGATGCTCTCTGAGTCAGTTTACTTTATCCAAAGTGGAACAACCTTTGTCGTGACCTTGATCCAGCGGTTCGCTGGAACGAGGAAAAGTAATAGATGCCTCGCATACGGAATACCGAGTTCGCTCTCGCACGGAAACTTGCGAAAGGCTTTACATCAGCGTAATGAATATGGAACTCGTGCGACTAAGAATACTCATCACGAAATGTTCAAACGCAGTCACGCGATTTTGTTCATTGCTGAAGAACTCATTGATAATCAGTGAAATCTTGTCTGTTCGATGTGATTATTAGATTGATTACTGGTCGCCGATTGAAAAGTAGTGGATAGAACAGGATTTTAATTTTTATCAATTAAATTTTAACTTTTATAATAAAAATTTTATTATTTTAACTTTTATAATAAAAAACGACATAATTAAATTCTTATTATTATTCTTGCTCCTTTTTTTATATCTTTACAATCACAATGAAATTTTTTATCTCAATAACGAGCGGAAATGTTTCTTTGATAAAAATCTAAAAATAAATTAACTTAATTATTTCCTTGTTTTATAAGTTTATTGTAATTTTATTCAGATTTATTATGGAAATACAATGTTTCAAGCATTTTCTGGTATTAAATTTAAAAAATGCGTGATGCCTTTGTAAGATATTTAATTTGAAAAAATGCATCTCTAATGATTGGATAATAACAGACCTACTCTTTGCCGGTCACGTTACAGTTGAGAACTTGGTTTTTCCAATGCATTGCATGACACATCGTGATTTGTAAATTCTCATGTGCGTGCGTAGCTGTATCCTGCGTTCGATGCTCTGAACACTACATTTTTCAGCGAAACTAGATGCCGTTATTAGCGTATTGAGAAGAGATATCTTTATATTCGTGATTTATTCCGCTATTATTAAAGCGCGTAAAAAATTAATAAGCGTTAATTAAGGCTACCAATCCTATTTTATAAGTATCGATAAGTATAATGTTGCCCCGATTCACTAATACGTGTATGAGTTTAACGTTTATCGTTGATGACTAGCTTTCGACGTGATTATCTCTCTCACAATAATTAATTCGCTCAGCCGAAAATAATTAAATTGAAGATAGCTTATCGCGTTCTCCAATTATAAGTTGTCGACTGTCAGTCTTTATCTTAAAAAGAAACTTACGGCTATTTACTTTCACTAAATCCGAGTCCACAAAAATCGTATATGTAAATTATGCATTCAATTTATTTAATAAAATATGATGCTAGGCGATCGAATCTGCATAATACTTTCGCGACGGAATCTCAAACTCTGTTCTCGACGGTTGCATAAAATTGTGACGCAGACTCCATGGCATGCTGCAAAAGAGCATTGCGGCCACTGCGTTTCCGGTGCAACGAACGTAAACACACAGACCGACGTTTCTCCGGAGACGAACTTCCTCCTCGTAAAAAAAGGAAAAAAAAAAGAAAAAAGAGATCTCTTGTGCGATAATCGGTCCACGGTCTTGGCAAACAAGAGATACGTATAACGTAATTTACGCTTCCTTGCGGTTCATTCCTGGCTATGTACAGCGGTTGCACGCTCGTTACGATTGTTTCTTTCCGGAAGTTGCATTTTATTGTCCCTTCGCTCAGCCACGCGCGCCGTTTTCACTAGAATTTCATTAAATCGGCGTCTCGCCAGCGACGCCCACTAATTAGCGGTGTCAGATGTTAATTAACGTATATCATTTTGCTTATAAAAATTCATCTATTTATGTTTGCATTTGCATTAAGTATAATTTTTAACTGAGAATTAATTACAGCTAATTATGTTTTATTATCAACAAATTTAGATATGATGACACTCGCGAAGTTAATTAACTCGGATTTGTCGTTTAATCTGAATCAAGTGTTTTTATCCTTTAATCTTTCTGGCTATTAGATAGTTAATGACATAATGATGTATATTTTCATTCTATATTTATAAATGTGTTGCATAATGCATTCGATAATACAATATTATTCTAACGACTTATTTAATAATATTATATATAAGAAAAATTACGTGTCACAATACGCAACGCGCAATTTTGTTTCCGTCTCTAGACAGTTTTGTTACTGTCCCCGATCCACGCCGAGAAGGACGACAGTGCCGATCTCGACGATGGCGAAAAATCTCAGGAGAAGATATCGGCGTCGCTCAAGCTCGTCGACGAGGAGAATGGCAAAAACAGAACAAACAAAGTATGTAAAGTACTAAGCACTAAGAATCGAAGAACTTTCGAATAATATTTAACCGATATTGCTTATTTTTTTACTTTTTCGTAAAATCCGAATCGCGTAAAATGTAAAATAAAAATGTGAAATAAGAAAGATAACAAACCAAAGACTTAGCACATAATAATTCGTACGTTGCTTTCTAGTTTATAAATAAATATTACATCAAATTGATTCAGCAAAACGACGAAGATACTTTCTTATGAAACTAATCTCTCTTTCCAGGCAATGAAGATACCGGAGAAACGAGAGCAAATTGGCGAGGTGGTGCCGAGAGCGCGTAGTCGGCCGCAAAAATTAGCGGCACTAGCATCCACGAAAATATCAAACAGTACGACTTTCTCGCCACTTGAGGTGGTTCGGTCCCTCGCCGGCGGCGGAAGCAGAAGGAACGCCAGCAGAGAATTAACGCTACCTATCAACATGGATGTAACGAGGATCATATCCGAAGATACCGACTCCGAGGAGAGCGAGTCGGGCGAGGACGCGACGCTCGAAGCGCTACCCGAGGTGAGTCAAAGTGTACAAATCAAAAGCGGCGTGTATTTATACGGCGCGCGTTCGTGCATAAATGATCTATCACTGGCGACTTTTTCTTACCACCGGAGAACGGTAGAAAGTCGAAGTTTGACGTGTCTACTTGTCGTAAATTTCAACGAGATTTATCTCGCCGAGTTAAATATATGTATGTTTTCCCTGGCAGACAAGTTTCTCACGGCGCTACGCATGTAAATATTGAATTTTATGTATGAAACCTGTAATAAATTCAGGTTCCAGGACGATTTCTAAACTACAAAATTGTCTAAATCGACATCTACCGTATTATAGCTTAATACAGAGATCATTGATTGTATTTATTGTAAAGACCAGTTTGACGCACCATTCATACTTATTTTCTATTAATGAGACTTGAATTATAATCAAAGATCGTCACGTTATAATTATTCAGAAAGATCTTAGAAATTCTATTAATCGAAACATTTTATTTTGTAATTTATTGTAGTTTCTAATTTTTATTTCTTTAAGCTTGGCTATGTTTCTAAACTTATTGCGAATTTTGGTCAATATGTCATATATTCGAAGGAATATATTTTTCCGAATTTTAATTCAGCACATCCTTCGATTGTGGGTCATACATTACGGTATTCCCGGATTTAGAACGAGACGGTATCGTATAATTTCGCTTGTAGCTTTAAACGCCGGCTGTTAAACGGCACCTTTTATGCGAGTACTTTCACGCGTTCGACATATTTTATTGCGACGCCTCGTCGCAAGGACCATCTCATGAATCTCGTGAGTGGTCGCGTTTACTATACACCGTCGGATGTAACGCACGAGAGAACGACTTTCCATTCTGGACATTAATTAGCGAACGACATGAACGAATATAGGCGGATGTGGATTTACTTCGTGTAGATTCGCAGATAAACGACGCTAGTGGATAGCTATAATAGTTACAAATAGAGTCGGCAGACTGTATAAAGTGAATGCAATAAGAAGCGCAAGGTAAAGGTGGTTTATTACTGTTTCCTTTAACCGGCAACAGATTTATTTGTTTACGCAGTGTAGAGCTTTCTATGCATTAAAATCATTAAGATTATTGATAGGCACAATCAATTTTCACTTTGCATATTAGACATAAATAAACATACGATAAATTCAGGAAAATGATAAGATGCACGAATTTTAAGTGGGCAATAAAATACATCGTTAATAATACGCAAGCTGTACAAATAATGTTCCTTTTTATTTCCTTTTCACACTTTTTCAGTATACCTAAATAAACGGTCATTAAGGCCATTGTGCACAAACAATGCTTGAAGACGTTCATAATTATGGAGAATACATATTGTGAATTTCAAATTCGCACGCTAATCTTTAATTATGAATTTTTTGTACATTATTATTATTAATAAGTATCAGATTTAACAATATTTCTTTTTATTATACTTTAACTAAAAAAAAGGAACACAAACTTTAATGTCAAAATTATAAAGTTTTGATAATTTTATAAATTGGAGAAAATAAGGGTATTGTTCTGAACATTATTACGGATAAATTTTCTGAATTATAGGCCCAAGAACTGCGATTAGTGAGACCGAACGAGCGACGGCGACCCGTACAAGTCAAACCGTTACGGCCACCACTTCCAAATCGAAGAAATGTTTACACAGGTCAGTTTTCTCATTGACAATTGCATCAGATAAAAGCGATAAAAATGCTGAGACAGACCGTTCGATTTTCAGCATCATCGCGGCCGTCTATCGTGCGGTCCTCTAAGCGACCGAATGATTCGAAGAGGAGACCCACGGAAAACGAATGCACTTTCTTCACGAAGACAGTGTGTCTGGAGGCCAACGATTATCCGCAGTAAGTCCACCTCGAACTTTCGTTTCGGCGTTGAATTAATGATGGACAATTGTTATGCGGCAATTTGCATACGGGCGAGATTAAAATCTCTCGGGCCGTCTTAATTGGCGAGACTGCGGTTTTCACTTTCCGCGTAGCCCTCCTCCCGAGAGGCGACCGAATTTTAAAGATAAATAAAGCGTATCATTAAGTTATTATAAAAATTTAATTAATTAAATTAATAAGATATTAGCGGCTATTTTTTTTCTTTTTTTCGATTATTTTCAAATTTTTTGTATCATCTTTTTGTGAATAGTTAATAGTTAATAATTAATTTGCATTAATTCGCTTATTGCAAAGAAATATATATTAACCAATTGTAACATTGCTGTTTTTCTTGCTAAATTTTGCTAAAATTTGGTCTTCACAAGTTGAATTATTATCTTAATTCTTCGAATAGAAAGTGAATGTGCATAAAGAAAATTTTTCCCAGTAGAAAAAATAGACTATTGTTCACTTTCCCGAAGAAGCATGCATTAATAACGCTCTTAACTTTCTAGCGAGGCGATAATAAGAAGTTTAAGGTCTAATAAGGAAATGGTATCGGCTTTGTTGACGGACTACAAAACGCCAGATGCCGGAAGCATAGAAGAAAAATTGCCGATTGCTCTAGCATTGGATACCAAATATGAAAATCGCTATGAAAACAGATACGAGAGCAACGAAATTAAAAGGTAAATAATAAAATGTTTTTTTCTAGTTATATTTTTAAAATTGTATATTCTCAATAATTTTAGAATATGTATATTGTAAATTTTTTAATTTTTAACTTTAATATGAATAAAAAAAGCCACCCAAAGTAAGCAAAATGTTCGCAATGTTGACAATAAATTTATTGTTAATCTGGTAATATTGGACTATCTAGGTACTCGTACATAGATATCGAAAAATTATTTGGTACAGCTTAATATGTATAAATTTAATTTAATCTCTAAAATAAAAGTCTCAGAAAAGTCAAAAAAAAGACTAAAAATTCCACAATTTATAATGATAATTATTTTCGTCATTAATTGTACATTTTAACTTTCAGAAGATCCGACAATCCCTTTGACAACGTGGAAGAGGGTTTCACCTGCCCGTCAACTGTCAAATATGCTCGCCCGCAATTGGCGAGAGCTGCTTCCGGAGTCTGGAAGTATATAATAAACACAGGCGAACACACCCAAACGATACGATTGGAAAAATGCTCGTAAGTATGATATTATATGTAAGGCTTAAAAGAGAAATGTGTAATTTATTTGGACATTGATTAACAGTTTACGTAATACTCCATTATAAGTAATTGATGAGAATCACGAGATATTTATTACCTTGTAAGGCATTGACTTGTTTAAAATATGCATTACAATAAAGAGTTCGAATGCAATAAAGCATTAACTATAAATTAAAATTAACAAACTTTAACAAATAAAATAAATTTAATAAATCCTTTTCTTAACTCAATAAATATGCAAATAATTCTGATAGTTATTTGATTATTTAATATTTTATCACAGCAATCCACATTCGAGCTGCTCGTTTATCTCCGAGAACTACCGTTCCTCCTGCGTGCAAATCTACAACTACCACAGGCTGCTGACCTGGGATCAGAAATTAGGATTGCATATGGACATATTTAAAGTACCAACTTGCTGTAGCTGCCATGTGCACGGTTACTCCGAGATCTACCCGCCGCATCAAAAGGATCCGCCAGCAAAGCCCAAAGAAACATTTCCGGGCTCGGAGTTCGCGACAATCAATGATCAAAAGGATGATTTCCAGGACCTTAGCAAACTCGGCAGCTTTAATCAGATCAGCAAATATACTCCCATCTCCAACTTCGACTCCAGTCTCGGTACTTTATCCAATAATTACTCAGCATCGATTCTATGTCGAACAATTTTGATGAACATTTCTCGTCTTCTTCAGTACCCAGCAACAAGAAGCCAATATTAGACATCACTCCGACGACCAGGCCCAGCTTCACTCTTCCTACTAGAACCAGATTGAAGAAGCCCGCGTCAATTCTGAGGCCGTTTGACAAATTACCGCAACAGCACGCGCCCAACACGCGAGCGCCGGGCTACAAAGGGCCGCTGACAAAGGGCAACAGACCCAATCGGCTTAGCAGACCTCCCTTCAGACGGGAGTCCACCTCCCACGCCGAGGATTTTATGGAGACTTCCGCTAATACCTCGACTAAAATCCGGTAAGCTTTCCAATCACTCATTTTTAATTAATGGATTACATATTATAATTAATAAAATAAGTATTCTTCTTTATTAAGTAAAACAATTTATATCTGACATAATAGCTGACAAATTGATAAAAAGTGATTTTTATTGATGTTTATTTGAGAATTATAAATTAACTTTAGATAAAATTAAATTAATTTATTAAACATCTGAAATTAATCATTATTTAAAACCTTATGTTCTAATAAAAATCACTATTTAATAATAAATTTATTTTTGCAACAAATGAGACGCTACTAATGTCTTTAGAATTAAATCTTGGATTTTCTGAATGCATAAAAATAATTTTTTTTTCAATTGTTAGATATCCATCTTTATCTAGATACAGCCAGCCGTACGACCAGGATGTGGACGCCACGTCGAGGCTGCAGAACAGCGGCTTCGACGATGAGTACCACGAGCCGCAGCGGAGAATCAATTATAACTATCATCCTATCATAGACTTCTTTAAACCGGAAGCTGCCATGCTGCAATCCGCGGAGCCGCAACTTGCCACCCAGCCGGCACCGGTTCAAAGTGACAATAGCGCGTGGAAGCCGATGATATCTTAGACCGTAGTGTTCTTCCTTCGGAGTACCTGACATCCTACTTTAACGAAGATTCCAAATCACGCATTTCGCGAAGTCCGCCTTTCTTATATCAATCTCTATAATCGTGAGAGCGTATTATTTCTTAGAAAAATATCCGATGTCCCGCGATGTGATATTCATAGTTCAACCCGTGTCCTTGGAATTATTTTAAGCTAAGAAATTCAAGTAAAATAAAATAAGATTGAAAGTTCAATTAATATTTAATAAGTAAATTGCGAAGACTTATCTATATACTCAGTTTAATTACAAATACTACATCGCAGGGCATCTTGTATTATTATAAAAATTTAAATATATATTTTATCTAATTAGTTTCATTTTATCGTCAAACTCGTATATGTAAAGACTTAATAGATATTTACGACGTATCGCTCAAAGGATTATTTGTATAGTAATAATAAAATGGGTATCAGAATAGATATTCGTAAATATGATCAGTCGATAAAGTATTATGGCCACAAAGGGCAGATGCAATAATCGTTTTTTTTTTTTTTTACTGTAACACGTCTATCTTGACCTACTATTTATTAATCATTAGCTCTATGAGTTATTTATAAATTGTACTTAAGGATTTTACAACATTTGTTTTCTTTTTGTATTACAAATAAAGTATTTTTAGATTGTTCTTTTGTCTCGACGCTTATTTAATTGTTTGATATAAGTTGAGTCAATTACAATATATCTTACAGCCGACAGGAGAAAGTGTTTTATTCGTAATCGAAGCAATGCCGATCGCTGTTAGCATGAAATGTGCACGATTTACTTACCGCAACTTATTTCAATCAGCGATCTGTGAATGTTTCACGTTTTGGAAGTTAAAAACTTCTTCCTTCCTGTGTAGCTTGCTTTCGTGCCAGGGTGACTGACCATCGATTTTTCTCAGTGAATTGCGGATATGATTATTTTATGTAAAACCGAGAGGATGTAACGCAATCATGTCATCTTCGCACAAACGGAGAAAGCTAAATTTTTTTTCGCAACTGTGTGTTTTACAAAGATTGCTCAGAGGTGTGCACCAGATAATGAAGTAAAAACCGGAAGGATTTAAGTCTGTTTTATCGTGGTCCAACTTTTATCAATCCATTTTGCAACTAAAATTCAAATAGATCTATTTGTATAAATCTTCATATTATATAATCTTGTTATAATTTTTATCTCAAATATTTTAATCACAATATGTGTTACAAATACAAATATAATAATTTAATTATAGTCAATAAAAAAATAAACTCAAGGTGCGACGAAACATTTATAATCAGTATGCTGCAATTTTGAATTTCACGCTGTGACACGTAACAAATTATTTTTACGACTTATTAATTAGTTACGATTTACTTGGAATTGAAACCGTTCTGCTTGTTATTCGGAGTAAAAGTGAAACGACGTTTTGTAAACGACATTTAAAAAAAAAAAAAATTAATTATCATTAATGGAAGGAGGGGGGAGGGAGGCGTATGGCATGCAATAAAATGTATATTAAAGTTAGAAAACTATTTTAATACAATATTAAAACAGTTCTGCTTAGATAATTACATACATAAACACATGTTTAATTTGTGTTGTTCTTATTATAATATACATAGCATGAGTTGTGGTGCGTAAAATAATCTCGCCTTTGTGAAAGGCATTATATTGTTCAGCAAACTATACCGTTGTGACTGAAGATTGACGGTGAAATGCGTCTCATAGTATTGTTTTCTGCGAGTCGATTGCACATGTGCAATTGTATGAAAATTAAGTCGATCTCCGTAGTCATAAATTCAAATGTTTCATCACTGGAATATTCTTATGCAATATGTTCAAAAAAATTTAAATTATTTGTATTAAATAATAATTCAAGTTAAAAAAAAATAATTTGTTTATATTTTCATAATTTTTACAAATGAGATATTCTTTAATAATTGATTACATTTAGAATATAAAATAAAGAGCGAAAAAATTGATTATTAAAAAGCAGATGAAAAATACTCTACTTATTTAACGATTTAATATTAAAATTTGTATTAATTGTGGATATTAATTAAAAAAATTATAAATATTACTTAAAAAAAAAAAATTCTACATCAATCTAAGCTCTCGTATTTGCTTTCTGAAATTAGAAGTTCCATATTCCATTATCTCGCGAGTTCGTCGGAGCGAAGAAAGTCCCGGAGCTCGAGCGACACGCTTCGCGGCCCAACGCGGAAAGACGCGGGAGACAATTGCCAAGCCGAAGCGCAGCCGGCGAAACGAACGAGTTACAGCTGACTGAACGAAGTAAATCGCTTAGACACTTGCCTTACTGGATATCTCTATGATGCATCTTCGTACTCTCATGCCGTCTGCTTGTACGTCAAACATTCTTTACTTCGCGTTAATAGCAGAGCATTTCGTTCGATTAACGACGCGCTCCTTCTTTCACGCTCCGTCTTTGATGAGATGACTGCGCTTGTAGCGTAATCGACGAGTGCATCGTAATTGAAACACTGGGGATAGCCTATATATTAGATACCAAAGTTTCTAATACGCGAGCCGGAGAAGAGAGGCGTCTGGGTGAAACGGCCTGTCCGAACGGATCCAATCGAGAGTGGCAGAATCGTTGAACGGTCGGATCTGCACGCTTCGCGGAGCAGGGTCTTTAGTCGTTTCAGCGTTTTTCACCCTCTACTTCGCCTTTCAGATGGCTGGAAAATATAAATTAGGCCACGCGGCCCGTACCGACGGCCAGTTTGACGGAAGACCTCGATCGAAGATGATTAGAAATCACGCGGCGGCTCACGCGTAAATCGCGAATTTCTCTCATTCGCCGCAACGAGCGTTTAAATGCACAAGTGTCGTTTCTGGAAAAACGATTATACGTTCTCCGAAAGTTGAGCAGCACAGTAGTGTCTCTGTCAAACGTAAGAGTTTGAACTGTACTGTTTAAAAATATCTGGTGAATATAATATTTTATTCAGTGCCGTTTCAATTAATTTTCAACTAAATAAATATATCCGTACCAGAGATATTGCGATAAAATTGTAATATGTCTTCTGATTTTAATGTTTAATTTTTCGATATTGATTTATAACATAAAAATTGTGATAAGACAATCATTTATTGACGAGTGTTGCTAGCCACATGTTAAATGATACTTTCTCATTTCAATAGTGATAGTGATATGAAGAACAATCCAGAGAAATGGAGCAGCAACAAGAAGCTCGTAATTTAATTACTTTTCTTCTGACAATTGTCAGTATCCACTTTACGTCATCGTCGAATCAGAATGTTTACACCATCGATATCGGTACTACCGATACTTATCAAGTTACCGATCACGTCTGGCTACAACCCTTAAACACTACGACATCGAGCTATCAAGAGTCTACGACGTATCTACCAGTTTCAACGAGCATTACAACAAAGGAAATACTCGATTCTTCAGAAACGAATGCTGTGCATCGATACACGCAGCCGTCCTATCGTCACAGTGAAGAACACAAAGAAGCCGATAATTCCGAAGAGCCTTCGGACCACGTGATAGCATATTCGGAACACGAAGAGGCGAGAGATGTGCCCACTCGACCGAAGTACGTTGCTCCAGGAATCTGGGCAAAGCCGCCACCGGATAAGAATATCCCGTTGGACTTCGTACCGAAGAAGTTGCACGCTCAAGTTCGAGGAACTCACGTCGTAAAAAAAGTACCGCAACGAGAAGCAATTGAGAGCGCCGAGACCGACGAAGAAAAGCGCAATGCCCATCGGTTGAGAGAAGTCGTCACGAATTCGAAGGTCAACACGGTCTACACGGAGGAAGGATACGAGGACTCGGCCTACGATCACGCAGGACACGTTAGAGACGCCGATTTCCACGAAGGATTCGCGCGCAAGCTTCACGATGAAAAGAAAAGCGATCATCATTCGTCGAGCGGACAAAATAAGGAAAAGGAAAACGACGAATTCAAAGACTACAAAGAGGATTATAAGGATCATTTGGAAGAAAGTAGAAAAGTCGAGCAGAATTCGAATGATGAGTATAATCTGATAGGATACGGCAGAAACGCCTGGAAGGAGCGTTCCGAAATCGACCCTAAACTCGTTATTAAAAACGGCATTCGAAACCTTGAAGAGGACATCGAGAAGGATGCTGAGGAAACTGAAAGGAGCTCGCAGATCTATCAAAAGGCGCAAGAATCGAAGCACCGTGATGATGTCAAGACTGACAGTTCAGAATCAGAGGAGTCTCGCGACGAAGATGATTTAAAGGACGAAGAGAACAAGCCTACCAAGTCAGAAAAGAAAGGTTTCAAATTGAAGAATGGAAAAGCGAATTTTGTAAATAAAGGAACGAAGCAGTCACACGGATTAGAAAAAAAGAAGCTTCACGAGAATCACGAGATGACTGTGATTCCATTCGATAGAAAACATTCAAGTAACACTGAAATCCCCGCGAGTCTTCAGGGTTTCGTAACAAATCCCTCGAGTTTGCAAACATCTGTCGACCAGACGACTCTGCGCTACGTCGCTCCGACAGCTTTGTCTCAAATCGACGAACCGACGACAATCAGTTACAGTCAGATGTTTTGGGACTATTTTAAAGCGAGACAAACCCCGTCGAGCACCGAATCGTCCGCGCGCTCATCAACCGCGAATTCGCGGCCGGAAGAGCGGAAACCGATCGCAGTGGCGACGATCGACGGCCACGGTCCGTATCTTTTAGTGACGCAGGACGCAACCACGACGTCACCTTCCTCGACATTATTCGATTCGGATTTCGGCGTCAGTTCCGCTCAAGCGCACAATCGTCATTTACTTGGACGAAGCGACGACGTCAACTACGTCGACAACGTGATCACCGCGTCTACGACTGCGACGTTCACCACCGTGCAGCCTCTCATTCTTCAATCGCTGTCTCCCGTGAATCCTGAAGACGCGGGATACTCGACGACTTTTCCGGATGTAGTGTCCAGCAGCACTACGACTGTTATGACGCTCAATATGACTAAAGAAGCCTTCTCGCAAATAGGCGGCTACAAGGAAAATCCCTTCCTCAGTCCTATCCTCGACAACAGCAACATCGTCATTACGAAAAACAAGATCAAATACAAGGTCCTCGTGCGACCAGAACAGCCGAAGAAAGTTGCCAAACCTACCACTGACCGATCGCCTTATCAACAACCTCCGTCATCTTTCGAAGAAGAGGACGATTACGGAAGAATTCGCGATGAGTTGAACGCG